CCACCACCTTAGGTGTATGTGGCTGGCGCCTTAGCCACTTGAGCCACAGGTGCCGAGCCAGAAAACATCTGACAAAATCCACATCCCTTCACGATAGAAACATTCTACAAACTAGAAGAGAGGAGAAATTACTCAATCTGATCCAGGGCACCCATGAAAGGCCCACAGGCAACATTACGCTCAACAGTGAACAGTGGAAGCTTGCACACTAAGATTAGGAACAAAACATGATGCTAGTTGCTACCACCTCTACTCAACATTGCACTGAAGGCTCTCACCAGGAGAGTCAGGCAAAAGAAATAAAAAGCATCTATTAATAGATTGGGAAAGAAGAAGTGAAACTATATTTGCAGATGACATCTCATATACAGAAAAAATCCTAAGAAATACATTAAAAAACTATTCAAATAAACATATCTAGTAACAATGATGGGTCCAAAATTCAACTGTATTAATATACACTTGCAATTAGAAATCCAAAAATGAAATTCAAACAATTATATTTATAATAGCATCAAAAATAAGATATATAAAATATATTCCTAAAATAAATTTAACAAAGGACAGGTGTGGTGACTCATGCCTGTAATCCTAACACTCTGGGAGGCTGAGTGGACTGCTTGAACTCAGAGTTCTAAACCAACCTGAGCAAGACCAAGACCCCCATCTCTAAAAATAGTGGGGTGTTGTGGCAGGTGCCTATAGTCCCAACTACTGAGGCTGAAGCAAGAGGATTGCCTGAGCCCAAGAGTTTGAGGTTGCTGTGAGCTATTATACCACGACACTCTACCAAGGGCAACAAAGTGAGATTCTGTCTCAAAAATAAATAAATAATAAATAAAATAAATTTAACAAAAAAAAATGTAAAACTTACACAATAAAAATTACCAAACTTTTTTTTTTTAATTATTTAAAAGTACACTTAGGGAGCCTCACTATGTAGCCCAACGTGGTCTTCAACTTCTGGTCTCAAGTGATCCTCCTGCCTTAGCCTCCCAAATAGCTGCGAGTAAACAGTTTACTAAACATTGTTGAACAATATTAAAGACCTAAATAACTGTTAAGATATTCGGTATTCACAGATAAGAAGACTTAATATTGTTAAGATTCAATGCAATCGGCTC